ACCCATCGAGGTCCCTCAGCCTGCTGGTAGTGGAAATCCCTGAAGGATTGTCTGTGTACATTGAAGCTCACTGTCCCTTCAAGATCCAGAATCTTCTGCCTGGCATATTCCGTCACTTTCGAACTGCTCTCCCTGTGAAGAGGAAGAAGACAAATGGCTGCTCCCTCACATCCTGGTCTTTCTCCATCCATGTTCACTCTGTGCTCTTTAGCAACTCCCAAAGGATAAAAGATCTCAAAACCAGAACCTCAGGAAGAGGTTACGCTTGAAAAATCTGTAAGGGCCACTGAGTCATCTTTGGAGACATGTTATCTTGGTCTCTCCCCAAGCAGGAACTTTACTGGCAAAAGTAGATACTGTACTTATAGCTCTCAACCTGAAGTGGAAACAAAAGAAAAGAGCATTCGTTTATCAGAGAATTACAGGCTAAGGTGTTGAGAGAACAATATTGTTCAGAAACATTCCCAAAGTTTGAGTTTTCTAAAACTCGAGTTTTCCCCAGAGTTCATGTTTGCAGAGAAGGTTCACAAAAAGGGCCTTTTCCGACCAGCGACAGCTCCCTCTCTCCGGAAGGGAACGGTCTCATCCCAAGTGGAGGGATGGATTCGGAGGCCCCTGTGCTGTTTCTGCATCCAGCTCTGAGCAGAGGGGAAGCCCCGCCCAGCGCTGGGGGCCAAGGTCCACTGAGCCGCAGAGGCACTTAGCCCAGATCCTCTGGACTACGGCTTGCACTGAATTGACTTGCCTTGGGCCCAGAACTGGCCTTTCCTTGGGGTTTCCACCGAATAAGAGGCTTCCCATCCTCTGCACCCTCACCTTCGAGTAAGCCGAGGCTGCAACCTTTGGGCACTTCGGTATCGCCACAGGAACTCTACCAGGACCATGCAACGAGAGAGGGCGGGAAGGCAGCCGTCCCTCCCGCTTTTCCAGGGCTTCCCCAGCCCCCGGGATCCGGGGCACCATGGTTTGCAAGCCAACTCAGTTGCACCAGGCAAGCTCCGTCCTTGCACCCGCTTCTCCTTTCCTGGGCTCCTTCCTCCACCATCCCGCTCCCCAGCCTCACTTTTCATGCGGGCTCACCCCGGTTTCATGCCTGGAGAGGAAGGGGAGAGCCCGGCCCCTCCGCGCGAGGGCTATCCCCGCGGCATGGGGGGCCTGGGAACCCACCTGCAACCGCTTCGTTTCCAGGAAGGCGCCCCAAAGGGTTAACACGAGGAATGGCTTCTTCCTAGAGAGGCCAGGAGTGCAGCGCCTGTCCGCAAAATCCCAGCGCAGCCTTCCGGGAGCAAGAACTCGACCTTCCGTCGACAGGATCTGGATTGGCCGACAGGGAAATATTCGCCCAATACAAATCACGCGCGCCTACGTTACTAGGCAAGCTCCGCGGCGCTTGACCGGGAGGGAAAGCGCCCGCTGGGTTCTGCTTTGCGAGTAACCAAGAGGGAAGACGCGGGGATGGCAGGCGGGAAGGGGAGAATGTGGATTCCAACACCCAGAGGAGGAGAGGATCTGGTAGACTTGGTTTAGGAGAGGGCAGCTCCAATCCGATCGACTGCGCTTTTGTGCTGCAAACGCAAGCCACGTCAGACCTAGTTAGTGCTGGATGGGAGACCACCGGGAAATCCCCAGAGCATATGCCAGATTGGGAAGGAAAATCCCTGCACCACTGCTGAGGAATTGCACTCTGTTGATTAGATTGGTAGACTGTTGGATAGACTAGGAATTCTTTAGGAGCCGCAAGGCTCAGGAAGGGTCTCAGCTAAGGAGAAGATCAAATAATGGGTCTCCTCCCGTGATCAGTCTGTAGACTTTTGGAGTTTGCACTGACTAGTGGGGATAATATCAGCAGGAGACAGACCCTGGCTGAGGTCCCCTAAGTACAAAAGCTAAGCGGGATTAGGCATGATACTACAGGGATAGGACACCACCAGGAAGCATCAAGAGTGTTGACTAGAGTAGAATTTTTTAGGAGCCAGAACATTAAGAAAGGTTCTTGGCCAAGGAGAACCAGGCCTTTCTGTGGCTGAGTTTGCATATAAATCTGGTTCCTCCTGGTCCCAGACTATGGGATCCCGGCAGGGCCAGGTCTAGGCTAAGACCGAGTAGGCACCAGCCTAGGGACACCAAATTTTAGGGGGCACCAAAATTGAAAAGACTGCTGAAAATAAATTTTAAAAAGTGAAAAATAGTAATGGCACATTCCATGAGCCAGCATGCCCACTCAAGAGTTAAATATAATTTCATAGAATTGTTGCCATGTGACAACAATGGGTGCTGATGTAGTTAAAATTACTTACTGTGTAAATTAGGAGAAAATGTCCAAGAAAAAAAAATTGTCTGGGGCTGAAAATTGTTAGTGTAAAGTTCAAACTCAAAGAAATAAACAAGTGGGCACCTTTCTGAAATTCCTAACAAAATTGGAAAAGCCAAACCATAGGGGCACCAGAATATAACTTTGCCCAGGGCGCCAAAATGTCTAGAGCTGGCCCTGGATACAGGTCTCAAATATTCAAAGTTCTCCTGCATCACTGCAGTGGAGTTACATTCTATTGCTTAGATTTATATACAGGGTTTCTGTTCAAACAATGGATTGTTTTGCCTTCTCAGAAATATAGTTGCTTAGTTATGGTGCAGATCAGCAGGATAATTTCAGATATTTGAGACCAGAATGACAGAGTAGTTATGGGATTGGCCCAGACCAGGAAAACCCAGATTTAAATACAGATAAAGTCACGGAGACTCCTAGGTTGTCTTTTGCCGAGACACTTTCTGGGTCTTTCAGCTCATAAATGCCCACCAAGCTCTAAAAAGGAAGTTTTTGAATGAAGGTCAAATAATCTTTGAGGCAAATCTAGGAGTTAAAAAGGAGACATTTTAACAGGAAATACTGGAAACTATGAGCAAAGTAAGTTTCAGGGCTGGCAGAGGAAATTTCACCAAGAAATACCAAACAATTGGAGAGGGTCCAAACAATTGTTTTTTTTCAAACCATGAACATTGGGCTATGCTGCAAAAATGAAATCCCTGTTTTAGAGTTCTTTTACAGCAGAAACATTTTTAGTGAAATAGCACAAAGAAAATATTTTTGTAGCTGATAAGACAGGAATGTGAGAGCACAGCATCTCCAAAACAGCTTGTTTTTCTTCATACCAAGACTTACTAATACAGGAAGATGGACAGCTTAAGATGAAGTCAAGAGAACAATTAACTGCAGAGGGATTTAGTTTTCAATGGTTTTCATGTGCACAGAAGAGAAAGATTTAATATAGAGAAAAAGGTAATGGGGATTGAACAATGTAAGACAGAATTTGAAAATGAATTATGTACAAATGATGAACATGTGATTGCAAAAATGTATAAACCTTTGTTGAAATTTGAAACAGAACAGGAACAAGTTAAAGACTGCATGATAAATGGGCTAAGAATTTTGGTTACAAGATACAGATGGATCAATGGGAGAGAATGTGGATAAAGGGACTGAAATTCACATTGTGTTATAATTTAAGAGAAAACTTTGACAAAATGATGTACCGTTGGTATATGACACCAGAGAAATTATCTAAGATGTATGAAGATACTTCTAGTCAATGTTGGAAATGTGAAAAACATGAAGGGACATTTTACTATGCACAGTGGACTTGTGAAAAAGCAAAAAAAAAAAAAGGAAACACACATGAAAATGCAAAGAATGTTGAAGATTAATATTGAGAGGAAAACAGAAATCTTTTGATTGGGATTTATGGATAGTCAATTAGAAATTTCTTATGGAAGACTGATTTTATATATGGTAACTGCAGCAAGATTACTATATGCACAAAGATGGAGAAATACTGAAATATCCACAACTGAGGAATGGATTGTGAAGATGACAGAACTAGCAGAGATGGCAAAACTGACCTGTTTGGTCAGGGACAAAACAATAAGTACTTTTATAAAAGACTGGAAAACTTTTATGGACTTTTTGGTGAAAATGGAAAAAAGTGAAAAGATGATTTCTGATTTGATGACTGAAAAAAAATTGAATAAGGGGCTAAAGGGATTATTATAATGTTAAGGAGGGAGGAGGGATAATGAGTTTGTAACTGTAAAGAAAAGCAGAAGTCGCTTCTTTATCTTTTTCTTTCTTTTCTGCACTTTTTCTTTTCTCTTTCTTTTCTTTATATACTTCTGTATTTGTCTTTTAATAAAAATTAATTTAAAAAACAACTTTTCTTCTAGAATCCAGTTGATACCTGTTACATGATATGTCTGCCTGTCTTACGGTGGTGCAAAACTGCCACTATCAATTGAAGATTGAAAAGCCTCTTAGCTAAAAGTTATCTGTATTAAAACAATTCTAAAATATTACAACTCACAAGTGTGTTTTTATTACCTTCTTGTTCAGCTCATTCTTGGGAATCCTCCCTTTAAGCTCCTTGGGTAACTTTTATTGTTTGGATTTATTTCTTGCTTTTCTGCCTCAAGTTCAGATGCTGAAATTTCCCTGTCCCTCTAAGATGTAGTTGTTCAGCATTGGTGCCAATATTGTGGAAAATTTTTGAATTCTGAGTTCCAGACGATGGATCAGTTATCAAGGTGGTTTAAGAGCAGGAAAACCCAGACAGTGCATTCTGAAAGTATTCACACCCTCTTCACTTTTTTCAATTTTGTTATGTTGCAGCCTGATACGACAATCATTCAAATTCATTTTTTTTCTCATTAATCTACACTCAGTACCCCATAATGACAAA